GCAAGGTCTCACCAAGTTGCCCAAGCTGGTCTCAAACCCCTGGGTTCAGGCAATCCTCTCACCTCGACCTCCCAAAGTGCTGGGAGTATAGGCATGAGCCACCACACCAGGCTTATATCATATTTTTGTTGAGAGTTTTCAGGGTACTTAAGTGCTTATGAGAAAGGGTATTTCTTTTTTTTTTTTTTTTTTGAGTTGGAGTTTCACTCCGTTGCCCAGGCTGGAATGCAGTGGCACACTCATGGCTACCCCAGCGTCAACCTGCTGGGCTCCAGAGATCCTTCTGCCTCAACCTTCCAAGTAAGCCGGAACTACAGGTGCGTGCTACTACACCCGGCTAATTTTTTTATTTATTGTGGAGACGAGGTCTCGCCAAGTTGTCCGTGCTCATCTCAAACCCGTGGGCTCAGGCAATTCACTCACCTCGGCCTCCCAAAACGCTGGATTACAGGCTGAGCCACCAAGCCCGGCCAAGAGTATTTCTTTATTAAAATGATGGCCTACTGTGGAGTCAATTAAAGTGTCAATTTAATGATGATTAAGTACAACTCTGAGGATGATTAAGAACAACTTTATGAAGTATTATAAATGAAAAGATGACATTAAAAAGTGCATTCTTTTGAAAAGTAATCCTTACACAGGATTATAGACAGATACGGCCAGGAAACCAACTACAATATATGAATTTATACCACAAATAATAATTCTTCATTCAGTAAATGATGCTGGGAAAACTGGCTGATCATATGCAGTAGAATGAAACAGGAACCCTACCTATCACCAAACACAAAAGTTAACTCTAAATGGATAAAAGACCTAAATGTAAAACTTCAAACTATAAGAATCTTAGAAAACACAGGAGACTCCCTTATAGATACTGGAATAGGCAACCAATTCCTGATAATAACCCCAAAAGTCTATGACATAAGACATAAGATAGACAAGTGGGACCTCATCAAACTGAAAAGCTTTTGCAAAGTAAAATAAACCATTAAGAGAGCAGGGAGACAGCCCACAGAATGGGAAAAAATATTTGCCAATTGTATATCTGACAAAGCCCAAACATCCAGGATTTACAAGGAACTCAAATGTGCTGCAAGAAAAACAAACAAACAAACAAACAGTCCTATTAAAAACTGGGTAAAAGACATGAATAGACACTACTCCGAAGAAGACGTATGAACAGCCAACAGATACGTGATGAAATGCTCAGCCTCACTAATCATCAGAGAAATACAAATCAAAACCACACTGAAATATACCATCTAACTCCAATCAGGATGGCCATCATTGATAACAAAAAACAACAGATGCTGGAGAGGATGTGGAGAAAAGGGTATACTTCTACACTGTTGGTGTGTAAATTCATACAACCTCTGTGGCAATTTTTAAAAGATCTAGAAATTGACCTTCCATATGATCCAGCAATCCCCCTTTTGGGAATATACCCAGAGGAACTGAAAACATTCTACAAAAAAGATACCTGAGCACATGTGTTTATTGCAGCATTGTTCACAATATCAAAAACATGAAACCAACTGTACTGCCCACTGAAAGCGAACTGGATAAAAAAAATGTATATATACACAATGGAATATTATACAGCCATAAACAAGAACAAAATTGTGAACTTCACAGCAACTTGGATAGATTTAGAGTCTATCATATGCAGTGATTTATGCAGAAACAAAGAACTGAGTACCACATGTTCTCACTCATACGTGGACCATGAACATTTATCATAATACTACAAGAAAAGAATTGGCAGGGGAGAGGAGGGTGTAGCATAACATCAATAAGGGTAACTGATCCTAAACCAGATGAATTGAGGATCAACGGGCGGCCCAAATTTCACCTGTAAGTAGAACACTTATGTACCTAATTCTGACTTGTATTCCATATCTTTAAAATAAAAACAAATATAATAATTCTTCATGTGTATTTAAAATAAATAGAAACACATTTTTTTCATTTTAATGCACACAAGCATATTTTTGTCTTGAAACAATGTAAAATAATTTCTAGGTTCACTAATATAATAAGATGATATTATCGACTGATAAACATTTAAAAAACTAAAGAATTCTGATTATTTTCACTTCAAAGTATCCAGGTTTGGGCAATAAACTATTCTCTAACTAGATACAGTGGGACTCTGTGGCCTACTCTTTGGATATTAAGTACTCAAACTGTTGCTGGGCGAGGTACAGCAGGAAGCTCCTTGGTTCTTGGATTTGCTACTGGAAGAAATTTTAGAGGGCCGGTATAGATGTAAAATAGAATTTATGGGCAACCCCTTGGGTTCCCTCCCACTGTGGGATCTTTTCTGTGTTCTCAATAAATCCTGCTTTCAAAAAAAAAAAAAGAAAAACAGAATTTACCAGAGAGAGAGAGACATGCCAGAGAGGTAGTGTCTTGAAGAAAGATCACCATGCTTTTGCTTTTTACAGGAAGCTTAATATGGCTACACAATAATTATCATGCTAAAGAGGATGAGCTACAGGTATCTGCTCCTGAGAGATTACCATCTCTCTACCTCTGAAGGGCTAAGTGGTGGCCTTTTCCTGAACATGCATTTTGCCTTTGACAGGATACTTTACAGTGATTATTATGTTAATTCTTGAGCTGAAATTTGGTCTGATGATCATTTCTACCACTTAATGGGCTTTTATTTGATGAGCCAAGGAAGTGGAGTGGTGTGGCAGATCCACATTCCAGCCCTTAGGGTGAGTGGGCCTGTAGGAAAGACATCTGAATACTTTTCTATTTAAAACTTAAAACTTCCTACAGGAGACTCATCTACATCTAACCTACACTGAATACACTGGCTCCAAACTAAAACATCCAATTCATTAAAAAGTAAAAAAAGACTTGCAAGCATCATTCCTTGTTTTGGTATACTAACCCATGCTTTCTCTGCAACCAGAATTTGGGTGCTTTGTAGGGGGAAAAAGATAGACAACTGAAAGAGGAAGATTTTATGAAATTGAATCACATAGAAATTTGAGTCATTTTTCCAAGAAATTGTTCTGACCTAAACTCCATGCTGCTGAAGAGAGGAAGGCACTTTGCCCTTTGGGTCAAATTCCCTGGTGCTTTCAAATGTTCCTTTATAAACATGAATACTCATGTGGCAGACAGAGATGGGTTTTCACCATTGTGCCCGTTAATAGATGTCAGTGGATTGCTGAGCATGAATTAGTTTGCTCTGGCAGCATATCTAATTTTTAATGCAAACTGCTGGAAGAATTAAAGTGAGGAAATAAAAAGAATTTAAAAAGAGGATAAAAACTAAAAATGTCTTGCAAGTTTGATGTTGCAAGAGGAAACAACAAGCCTGATCTTCCTTCTGTACAGAATGATTGGATAACTTGGATAACAGAGTACAGACCAGATGATAAGAAGTTACTTAAACCATTCCAGCAACTTTTACTGGAGAAGGGGCCCCACCTTGGTCCGTTTCAACCACGTAGTTTCATAAACAAGGGCAAACTCAAGAAGGAAAGTTTGTGTTTTTTGACATTTCTGCCTCATTGGTGATTTTACCAGCAATCCCTTCTGGGTGGTGGGTGCTCCTTCACTTTATCCATGGCTGCAGTTTGATGGAATAAAGAATACAAGAAAAAAATTATGTTTTTTTCTTTTGCAGCACAGAGAGTATTATATAAGTGTTCTCGAACCCAAGTGAAATTCTAGATAGGAAAAAAGTTTTGTAAGAGCTGGTTGAGGTTTGAGATTTCATGTTAGGTGCAGTGGCTACAATGACTGAGGGATCTGGAGCTGAGAGGACACTCACTAAATCCCAGTTATTGGGGAACCAGAACATGGCATCAGACTATGAGATAGTGTAAAATTGGCACTCTAAGGAATCTTTTTTTTCTATGACATTTGGATAATTTCTAACTTATTTGTATAAGTATGAGCCACCAAGTATGATAAAACACATTTAAGGTTTTTCTTCTTTTTTTTGAGTCAGAGTCTCACTCTGTCACTCAGGCTAGAGTGCAATGTCACGCTCAGGGCCACCGCAGCCTCAACCTACTGGGTTCAGGTGATCCTTCTGCTTCAGCCTTCCAAGTAGTTGGAACCACAGGCCACCATGTCCTGCTAATTTTTTGATTTATTAGAGACAAGGTCTTGCCATGTTGCTCAGGCTGGTCTCAAACCCCTGAGCTCAGGCAGTCCTCTCGCCTCCACCTCCCAAAGTGCTGGGATTACAGGTTTGAGCCACCGCACCTGGTTAAGGTTTTCTATAAGCAAAGAAAGCTGCATTTCATTTCACATGAAGTATTACAGACTGAGGGAGATGAACTTATATTTGCTTCCAATTTCATGAAGAAATCAGAATCAACTGTTGAACATCTTCATAGGGAATAGCTTGAACATTATGTAGCCCCCAGCAGTGTACTATGGGGTTACTTAGTAGCATGTCTCCAGCTGCCTGCTCTGTTTCTGAGACAGCTACCAAAGAATGACTGAAATGTTCATCAGGCCTGTAGTGTGTTTAAAACATGCTTAAAAATGCGGCAGAGTTTGACTTAGAAGACAGTACTATGATACATATCTGTATCTCCAGCATGCTATGTCATTACCTGCCAGGAACATTTCTGAAGGACTGTGATAGGAGATGGATCCAGTGAGCTTGCAGAAAATACTGTGAAGTCAGAGAGGGCAGCTTTCTGAGGGAAGCAGCAGCCTTCACGGGAAAATGAAGCCCCTGGTTGTGTGGGGCCTTATCTGTTTATCCATTTATCTGTCACCCATAATACTGAGGTTGCAATAGAGGCTTGCACACAATGAGTGGTACCATCTGAGTGAGTGAACAGAGAATCTTTTTTTGGAGTCAGTAAATATTTAAGTTGTTAAAATGCAGTTTATCTCCTGAAGTCACTCTGTTGGTAAAAAAAAAAAAATGTTATTGTAACATCTTATAATAATTTCTATAGGAGGACGATAAAAAATAAAGCAACTGAATTAAATCTTGTTTTCGTGTTTCCTAGGAATCTGAGAAAAAGGGGTTCATTGAGAGAATCTATATGGTACAGGATATTGTTTCAACTGTTCAAAACATCCTGGAGGAATTAGCTTCTTTTGGAGAAAGAATTAAAAAGTAAGTTCTAAATTTGTGTTGTGGTGTTCTAAGTAGATCTGCTATCCACAAGGATAATGGGGGTAGGACATAGGGGGGTGTGGTGGTGTTCTAAGTAGATCTGCTATCCACAAGGATAATGGGGGTAGGACATAGGGGGGTGGCAGGGGATATGGGATCAGAAAACGCAAAAACAGAAAACAAAAGCAACAGTGTTGGGCAAGCCCTGTTTGATTGACTCGTCAGCTTCACAGTTGGGTGGTGTCTCAGAACTGGAGTGACCATATGGCCCCATTTAAATCAGTTGTCCTAGCATAATTATTAATAGTGTCCCTTTTCACTCAAAAATATCCCGGTTTGGGTGATAAATGACAGATTTTTAAAAGGTATGCTATTCAGAAATAAAAATATATAGAGAGCATATTGAGTGAATATGCTCTAAAATGTCTTTCCATCTGAACCACAGAATACAATGAATGCCTTGAGTGATTTATTTTTTTCTCAATTCTCCAAAGAATGGTATGTAACTAGTAATATTATAGACAGATAGACATGAAGTTAATCACCATGTACATGGATGTCTTAGGATAAGGGTTGACAAACGTTCTCTGTAAAGGGCCAGAGAGTAAATATTTTCATCTTTGCGGGCCATATGATTCCTATCACAATTACTCAACTTTAAGTGAAAAAGTAGTCACAGTTGATACGTAAATGAGTGCATGTAATATGTATTCTAATAAAACTTTATTTACAAAAACAGGTGGCAGGCTGGATTTGACTCAAATCCAACCTGTAACTTGCCTCCCTCACCTTAGGACATAAAGCCTAAATTCTCTAAGGGAGCCGCAGTTCAGAAAGCCTCCATGATTCATGTTTTTTATTTGTGTTGTTTTACACACGGAGAACACTGCATAACTTGATCTTCCTTTGGTACCAATGAAGAGGGAGGTGTTTAATTTTTTTCTTTTGAATTATAAATTTACTCATTTCAATTTTTAATCTAGAGTTGTGTCTACTGTGTTCCAAGGTTTAAATAACACTTGCTGGTCATGTCTATGAATCCTTTTAGTTTCTTTAAGTAAAAAAGATATTATTTTGGAATTGCACAGGTAAAAAAGAGATTAAAATTAGTGCTAAAAGCCAAATGAAAGTTTTGTCCATTAAAATGTAGGGAAATCAATAAATGATGATTAACATTAGGAAAATATAAATAGTTAATATACAACTTTTTATGAATATTAATCTTCTTTCTCAGTTAAATTCCAATGAAATCTCCCTTGAATGCCTATTTAGTATAGCATAAAAATATGTTTGTTTTGTTTAAAAAATAAGCTTAAAACTATCTTTAATCAAATTTTGTGTTTTTAATTCCATTTTGACATTGTTATTCCAATTACTGATATCTTAAGAGGAGAAAAATTAAAGAGCAGCAGGATATTTGTTCACATATATAATACGTGTCTGCCTTATTCTTCTAGGTTTTGTTTTGTTTTGTTTTGTTTTATTTTGAGTTGGAGTCTCACTCTGTCATCCAGACTGGAGTGCAGTGGCCACTCCCAGCCTCTGCAGCCTCGACCTGCTGGGCTCCGGCGATCCTTCCGCCTCAGCCTTCCAAGTAGCCGGAATTATAGGCATGCGCTACCACGCCCGGCTGATTTTTTGATTTATTGTAGAGATGAGGTCTTGCCGCCCAGGCGAGTCTCAAACCCGCGGGCTCAGGCAATCAATCCACTCACCTCAGCCTCCCAAAGGCGCGGGATTACAGGCTGTGCCACCGAGTCCAGCTCTTCTAGGTTTTACATAAATTGAAAATGAGTCCTGAATTTACCCTCAAAATTATTAAATCAAAACATATGTAACAGTATAAAATAGTGAAATGATGGGGAGGGCATCATACTTCTTTTTCATTCACTCATTCAACTGTTAGTTATTGAGTTTTAGGCACTGACTTGGTCTAAGAATGAGAAATGCATCCAAAATAACAATAATAACAACATCACCTAATATCCATGTAAACCAGGCCTCGTTCCAAGCCCTTTGTTCATAGTAACTCCTCCACTTCAAGAAATTTGATTAGATCATTACAACAATTCTATGTGGTAAGGATTGTTAATATTCCCATTTTGTAGATGAGGAAATTGAAGGACAGTGATTAAATATGTAGCCCAAGATCATATAACTAGCACTTATGAGGCTTGAATTTGAAACTGTACTCCTTATTTCTACACTATAATGTCATTATTCTCTAGGAATCTATTTTTTCCTTGAGGGAGAAAAACAGTAATGGCCAATTGGAATTGAGTAGCACTGATGCTAGATAATAGAAGTCTCTAAGACAGGATGCTGGAGGATGTCTGAGTAGCCCAGGAGATGTAAGAGGAAGAGGACAATTCTTAACAAGCAACTTATCAGTATCTCTGAGAATAGGAAGAGATAGCTGGGCAAAGAATCAATGAATGGGGGCCTCAGTAGGTGGGAGTGCTTATGCAAAAGCTCAAAGCCCCAAACCCAAAACCGTGTGGTAGAAACAGGGAGGTGTACGAGATTTAGTATGTTCATGCCATAGATGATGGGGTAGCAATGCTTGGAGATGATGCATGTCATGCCGGGGTTTGGGTAGATAGAAAAAGTCAATGAAAAAAATCTGAGGGATATACGGGCAGCAAGGAGGATGAGAGGACATAGAGCGGGGTCAAGTCCCAGGAAGGAAGCTCATGTTGTTTGGTAAAACTGTCTCTCTTCTTTAACGTCTCTGAAAGATAAATGTGGCTGTTGTACAGTTGATAATGTTAATGGAAATATGTCTGATGAGAGAAGAAGGCAGAGTGATTTAAACAGGCTCCCAACTCTCTACAGTGCTTTTGAGGAGCAGCTGTGACCAGCACAGCTGTGGTGGCCATGTCTGAGATGTGTTTTCAGTCCATGAACAGAGTACTGTTCTACCCAGCTGCAACACAGGAAGGCTCCTAGGGCTCAACTCCTATTAATTCTTGGCCATTCATTTCTACAATGACCTTAAAGTTCCTGCTAAGCATTCAAGTGGGATGTCATGTGTAACTCTGTTGGAATTCCATTGTAATCCAGTGCTTAAGAACCAGGAAAACTTTTACCCAACTTTTGGCAATTGGCAAAGAAATAGAATTACATAAAAATCTCAGAGCAAGGCTACCCTGGTACTGATGGGGTAGACCTGGTGTTGCATTTACATGAAATGAACTGTTTTTCCTTTTTCCTACTCTTTTCTACCTTCTCTAATTACTTTCTCTAATATTATACAAATACCAAATGTATGTGTATATTAGGCTACAACACTGTACTCAGCAGTAGCATTTATATTATCTTAAGATAGCAGGCAGGATGGGACAGGAGAGTGAAGTATATTGTATGTTCTATCATTATGGAGTGAAGGCTATGTACTTGAGTGGCTAAGGAAATCTCTACAGAGGAGATAATGTGATTATGGTAGACCTAGAAGGTAGTGCAAATTATGGCTACCAACACTCCAGGATAAAGCTTAGAAGGCGCATTCATGAGAAGTAGCACTTTCTTGGCTAGGAAGTGATGTTGATAAATATTAACCAAAGAATATAAGAAAGCAGATTAAGTGCAGCTGGAATCCTGAGGAGGCCAGGAGGAATGAGAGATTGATGCATTCTTTGTTTAATCCAAGAGTGACATGTCAAAAGAGATGAAAAGCGTGAAGAAACAAAGACAGAGGAGGGCACCAGAGGCCAAGTGTGAGGAAAGCATTCATAAGCTGGTATGAGAACCAGACACATGTGAAGGAAAGTATCCTACAGGAGACAGTACAAAACCCACAGCAGTTTATCACCACTTTGGTTTTGTTTTTCATGGAATGACAAGTCAGAGGACTTCATTTGTCCAAACCTTGGAAACAAGGAAAGTAATCACATTGACACAAAAGTCAACTCAGTGGGGCAACCAGTTGGGGGAGGAAACAGAAAATGGACTAGCACCCACCTTCCAGAAGATGGTTACAATCATTTTTATTAAGTATATTGAAATTTAGAAAATTATATTCTTACATATTGATGAGCCCACATGGTTGAATGAAAGTAGGGAATTCTTTGGATTGTTTCATTAATTGAGAAGTTTAGCTCAATTGTTTTGCCCAAATCAGGGATTCCCTTCCTAGGATTTACAGAGCTCCCTAGTTAGGAAAACTAGATAAATATATGGAAATGTTTTATAAATTGTTGGATTTTCTATGAAAGATGCTCCATAATGAATGAGAAGAAAGTCTACAAAGGATTTGAGTATTTGGGGTATTACCATAGTGTCTTTGAGTAAATCTTCAGCCTTATAAATAGCGATATTCTAATGAATTACATGAGTAACATGTGCCCATTTACATTTTCTAAAGTCTCTGCTATAGGAGCAGTGATGGGTTCTTAAGTCAATTTTCCGAGTTCAAATTCCAGTTCTGTCCCTGGCTATGATTGATCTTGGGCAACTTATTTAACTTTTATGACCCAGAGTCTTCATCTGTAGAATGGGAATAACAATGTCAATTCCTACTTCATATAATTTTTGGAAAAATTACATGAATTAGTGCGCATAGAGTTCATACCACTGAATAACATGTAGTAATCACTTAAAATGTTAACTATTATGAGTATTATTTGGCCAGTTGGTCAATTGACTTGACTTTCTTCTTCTGTGTCTTAAGTAAACAAACCCAGTGAATGCTCTCTGTCCCTTTTCTTGAAAACATTTTTTTTTTTTGGAGTTGGAGTAGGAATTACAGGCGTGTGCTACCACGCCCGGCTGATTTTTTGATTTATTGTAGAGATGAGGTCTCGCTGCCCAGGCGGGTCTCGAACCCGCGGGCTCAGGCAATCCACTCACCTCAGCCTCCCAAAGGCGGGGGATTACAGGCTGAGCCACCGAGCCCGGCTCTTGAAAATATTTTAACTCAAAAAATTTGTGGGTTGCTGAGGGGAAAATGCTTGAGTCAGCCAACGTGGCTGTTGGAAAGCAAATCCAATAGGCTGTTTGTG